GTTCATGCCACCCGTGGGCTCGGACCTCTGTCGGAGGGCCATCGCGGGGAGAGGAGAGAGGTGGCGGGGAGGCGGGTCCCAGGGAAGACCAAAGCGGGATGGAGGTTTGCTTCTAAAAGGAGAAGAGGGTTCTTAGCTTTCCTCTGGAAACACAGGGAAAATGGGAAGGGCTCAGGGAGGTACAAAGGCGGAAGGGAGACCAGGTGAACCGGAAACTGCCTGGAGTGAGCCTCAGATTCCTTGACTGAAGAAATGGGAGTGACGTTCTGCAGCTCGGATTGTTGACTGTTCCGTGCACCCAGCACAGAGCCGGTGTGGGCCCCCGTTCTGAGCCGGCAGTGCAGTGCAGCTTGCATGGAGGGCCTGCTGCGGGGAACCAGGCTGGGTGCTGGAGAGGAAACAGCCCGTGTGAGCTTCCATTTGTCTGGAGGCAGACATACACAGGTGAAGACGGGGTAAATCTCTTGAAGAATGAAGTGAGTAGAGGGTGCTGCAAGTGGGTGGGCTTTTAGGTGAAGCAGTCAGGGAAGGCTGCTCCGAGGAGGTGAGGGAACGAGCCCTGTGACTGTCAGGGCAGAGGTTCTGGGAGGTGCTCCCACCTCTGTTTGCAATGAGCCCTCTCTCCCCAACCCCAGGGCCCCGTGGACCTTGGTGCCTTCCTGCCAGGCAGAAGGCCGGCTGAGTTGTAGCTGCGGTCCTGGTGTTCCCCCCACTGCTTTGCTGGGCCCACTTTGACACTGGGTGCTCAACGAATGGGGTCCCTGGTGGCTGAGATTCGGCAGGTATGAAAAATGCCTGTCTCTGCTTCCCAGGCAGGGCAGGACCAAAGCCCTTGCAGAAGCAGGGGAGGATGCGCTCTCATCTGGGCACCTCCCACCACCCCCGCCTTGAGCGCCCCCCCCCGCTCACGTTGGAACAGGCCACCAGCTGCTGTCACTCCACACCATGTCCTTTAGCCCTTTTTATCAAAGTTCTACTTTGAACTTGAAACCAGCAGTCAATTCCCTTGTGCCTGGTGTCTGGGGAAGGGTCAGCTGCTGGCGTGAGGTTTAAGTCTGTTGCTGCCCTTTGCTTTCTTGGGGCTTTGCCGAGCCGCTGCTGGTCCATGTGGGAACTAGGAGGGCGGGGAGGCCCAGGCCCTGCCCTCAGGGAGCCTCCAGAACCACCCCAGAGGCTCAGCCTATCAGTCAGGTCTCATAGTTCTGATGACACGCCCCCTCCTCTGGGAGAAGAGGTGGGGCTTGTAGCATGTCAGTGCTGGCCAGTACCTTAGCAATTTCTGACCTCGCCCTTTGTTGCCCCATGGGGAAGCTGAGGCCCAGATATGGGAAGGGGCTCGGCCAGGCCCAGCCAGTGTGTTACTAACGGCTCCCTGGAGGGAAGGGGGCTCTAGTGGGGTTGCCACACTTTCCCCAGCTCAGGCGGCTGCAAGCTGCCCGGGGTGAGCGGGGGAGTGGGTGAAGGTTTGTGCCTGTGAGGCTGGAGCACCAAAGAGGAAAAATGCAGCAGAACACCCAAGTGTGGTCGCCAGGCTCGTGACCTGGATTTTATTTTAGCAGCTGTTCAAACAACTGGTCCCCGGGGCCTGTGACCTCTGGAAGGGGCAGGGGTGGGGAAGAAAGGAGATTACCTGGGGGTCTGCCTGGGCCAGGACAGCTGGGAGGACAGCTGAGTAGGCAGCTTCTTGCCAAGAATAGCCACGCTGGGTCCCCCTCGACCTGGGACCCTTCTCTATGCTCTCTGCACAGACAACAGGTAGGGCAGGGTCTCACCTGAGCCATGGCCATTCCGTTAAGCAGACATCACAGAGCCCCTCAGCACGAGGAAGTGTTCTGGAAACGGATATGGGAAGGGCACTGACACCTGCTAGACACCTCCTATGCCTGCCTTACAGGGAAGCTCTGAGCCAGACCAGGTGGGCCTGGCTCCTGCCTGGGTAACTTTGGGCAAGTTTTATAACCTCTGTTTCCTAACCTGCAAGATAAGAATATAATACAGAAAAAGTACCCAGTCCAGGGCTTCCCTGGTGGTGCAGTGGTTGAGAATCGGCCTGCCAATGCAAGGGACACGGGTTTGAGCCCTGACCCGGGAAGATCCCACTTGCCGCGGAACAGCTAAGCCCGTGCACCACAACTACTGAGCCTGAGCTCTAGAGCCCGCAAGCCACAACTACTGAGCCCACCTGCCACAACTACTGAAGCCTGCATGCCCAGAGCCCATGCTCCACAACAAAAGAAGCCACGACAATGAGAAGCCCGTGCTCCGCAACGAAGAGTAGCCCCCGCTCGCCGCAACTAGAGAAAGCCCGTGCATAGCAACGAAGACCCAACACAGCCAAAAATAAAAAAAATAAATAAATGAATTTATATATATATATATAAAAAAAGTACCCAGTCCATTGAGGGCATGTAGCCTCACTTCATGAATTGTAGCTGCTGTTTTAATGATGATAACCTTGACCCCTCGTTGTCAGCAGGACCCACGGGCTGCTTGGGCAGTGTTACGAGGGACCTGGAACACCATCTAACTTGTGGCTTCCTCCCACTATGGCTGCTTTTCGGAGCAGGTTTTTTTTTTTTAAGGAACGGGCCCACCTGACCTAGCGGGGTTCCCAGGCCCCGTACTGCTGTGATCCCAGCAGAAGCTCCTTGTAACAGGATTGTCCTAGATGAGAACCAGGGACCCGGAGCTCAGCCCAGGCACAGGGAACAGCAGGACGAGGTCGGCTGCTCTGGTGGGGGGTGTGTGTGTTGGGGGCAGAGCCATGGGTCCAAGGTCACCAGAACTTGCTGGAAGCCCTTCTTCTGCCCCCTGATCCTTTTGTGGTTTTAAATTTTTTCTAATCCCTTAGTTTGAGGATCAGTCATTTTCATCCCAGTAAGAACGGTCAGCACTTGTTCACTTGTGTGGCCCAGGCACCGTCCCTAGGGCTTTGTGTCCATCACTGTACAGCAGCCCCGTGGCAGAGGGCAGGTGAGGAGACCGAGGCGGGGCTCCAGGGTCTGCTCCCTCAGCCACTGTGGCCTCCACCTTGTGGGATCTCAGGGGTGGAAGAGAAGAGCCTTGGGGACACCCCCCACCCCCACCCCCAGGGTCCCACAGAAGGAGAAGGAGACATCCCTCTGCAGGAAGGAGTACAAGATGAGATTGTTCCCTGCTCGAAGGGAACTGTAGGGTTTGATCAGAGTCTAGGAAACGTGTCCATGCAGAGGAGTCCAAGATTGGGGTGGTTGTAGTTTAGGGCTTGGCATGGCGGGTGCCTTGTGCACATTTCCTGGACGAATGAAAGCGCCCTGCACCAAGAGCCAGGGGCTGTTGGCCGGACCTTGGTGCTGCTGCCTCCTGCCTGGGGGGCCTAGATAAAGCACCTGATATCTCCAGGCCTCAGTTTCCTCATCTGTAAAATGGGATCATGGAATCACTTCACAGGGTTAACTGAGGGTCCAATGAGCTACTGTATGTATGTCTGCCTCTTAGCACAGAGCATCAATTCGTGGGTGTGATCACTCTGGTTGTTAATCAAGTTCAGTAGCAAAGCTCACTGATTTCCCAGGAGCCCAGCTCACAGCTGAGAGGGAGCCCCTTGCCCCTCAGTTAGGACGCCCATCCTGGCTCCCCAGGTCCTGGCTGATCACATGCTTTCCCACCACTACCAGTGCCCCTGAGGGAGAACCTGCCTGCTGGAGCTCGTATGTCAGCCCTGTCCTGGAGTTGTGTGGCTTCCTCATCTCCCAGAAGCTCTGTCCTTCCAGCCTTGAGACAGCATGCAGCCAGGCCTGCGGCCCCAGGCTCCTTGGCCTTGGGTACAAAGAGGATGCTGGTGGAGCCGCTGCCCCTGTGGCCCCTCTACTGGCTACCCATGGAAAGGACCAGAAACACAGGCAGCTCTGATAGGGGCATGGCAGTGTCTGCTTGCCTCCTGTCCCCATCTGTATTTGAGAAGTCCGTCAGCCTCTGGAGTAGAGGAGGAAAAGGATGAGTCCTTCCCTGCCTGATACTTGGTCTGGCAGGAAGGAGGGGCAGCCTCCAGACCTTGAGGTATAAATGGGCAGCCTTGCCGGCATCCGCTTGCACAGGAGGCCCTGCGTGGGGCCCAGGAGCCAGACGCGCACAAAGCATGGTGGGTTTGAGCTCTGCTTTGTCCTTTTGTGAGCAGGTTGCCCCCCTTCCCTTCTTCTTCTGAGTCTAGAGCACATCAGAGCCCAGGCCTGGGAGGCAGGCCCCCTCCAAGGGTTTGAGTCCCCATTTCTGCTGTGTGGCCTTGGGCGAGGCCCTGGCCTCTCTGAGTCTCAGGGTCATTCTTTCTGTAAAGAGGGGCTGGATTAGGGTACCCAGTTCAGGCCAAAGAGCCTGGAGTTCAGTCCAGCAATGAGGTTAAGTGCTTCCGCCTCCCACCCTCCTCACACCCCCTTCTCCTGGTCTGTGTGCCCTGAGGCTTGGCCTGCAGCTTGGGGACCGGGGAAGAGAGGGAGACTCAGGAGTGGAATAAGAGGGTTTTCTGGCTCCTTCCTTGTCCCGAGATGTCTGTGGTCAGCTGCCAAGGAACAGTAAGGAGCCTTTTGTGGGGCCCAGAACTGGCTGGAGAAGAAGGTGGGGGGCACAGAGATCCCCCCACAAGACCTGAGTCCCACATGGGGCCATGGGCGGCCTCAAAGTAACAGCTGAGGGCCTGAGCCCACCGGGATGCGGAAGTAGCAGCTTGTAACCCTCGGTCATGGGTTCATTCTGCCCTCAATTTCGAGTGACCCTGAGCAGTGGAAAGCCTTCAGAGGAGGCACTGTCCTGAGCTTTTCATCCCTAGAACTTTCCAGAGGGGTTGGCAGAGTAGGGAGCCACCCGGGGATGCCTACGGCCCAGGAAGAATGAGACCCGCCCCAGGCCCCACTCCCAGCCCCGCCTGCCTCAGTTTCCCCCCGGCCAGCTGGACTACGCGCTCCTGGGACGGCCGAGGGTCCAGCCCCCACCCGAGCCCTAACCGCCGCCTCTCTCCTCCTCCACAGGCTCCCCCCTGCACAAGCAGGCCTCGGGCCCCCCGGCCGCAGCCCCCGCCGCCCCCGAGAAGCCCGGCGCCAAGGCGGCCGAAGTGGGCGACGAGTTCGTGGGGGACTTCGTGGTGGGCGAGCGCGTGTGGGTGAATGGAGTGAAGCCGGGCGTGGTGCAGTACCTGGGCGAGACGCAGTTCGCGCCGGGCCAGTGGGCGGGCGTGGTGCTGGACGAGCCGGTGGGCAAGAACGACGGCGCCGTGGGCGGCGTGCGCTACTTCGAGTGCCCGGCCCTGCAGGGCATCTTCACGCGGCCCTCCAAGCTGACCCGGCAGCCTGCGGCCGAGGGCTCGGGCAGCGACGCGCACTCGGTCGAGTCGCTGACCACCCAGAACCTGTCGCTGCACTCGGGCACGGCCACGCCGCCGCTGACCAGCCGCGTCATCCCCCTGCGGGAGAGCGTCCTCAACAGCTCCGTCAAGACCGGCAACGAGTCGGGCTCCAACCTCTCCGACAGCGGCTCTGTGAAGCGGGGTGACAAGGACCTGCGCCTGGGAGACCGTGTGCTGGTGAGTCCCCCCAACCCAAGCACTCCACCCCACGTAAGTGAGCTGGATCCCCAGGACTGGGCAGGGTGGGGGACCCACGGGGCTTGGGTGGGGTCCAGGCTGGGGCACCCACTCCTGGTCAGAACCACAGAGTGACCAGGGAGACAGGTAAAGTGGGTACCCTGGAGACTGTCACTGTGTGACCCTGGACAAGTGTCTTAACCTTCCTGGGCCTCGGTCTTCCCATCTGTAAAATGAGAACTTTAATAGTACCTGCCTTGTGGGTTGAAATGTGTGAATACATGTTAATGCCTTTAGACAGTGCCTGATACTTAGTGCCCTCAAAATGTTAGCTGTCATTGATATTATCCATTGATCCAGCCCACCAGCGTGGATGTGCCAGGATTATACTGGAAAAGGCTGGGGACCAGAGTGCTCAAGACCCTTGGCCCTCCACTTCCTAGAGTAATGAAAATAAAAACAATAATAAACAAATGGGACCTAATTAAATGTAAAAGCTTTTGCACAGCAAAGGAAACCATAAACAAAACGAAAAGACAACCCACAGAATGGGAGAAAATATTTACAAACGAACCAGCCGACAAGGGATTAATCTCCAAAATATACAAACAGCTCATGGAGTCAATATCAAAAAACAAACAACCTATTCAAAAAAAGGGCAGAAGATCTAAATAGATGTTTCTCCAGAGAAGACATACAGATGGCCAAAAAGCACATGAAAAGATGCTCAACATCACTGAGAGATGTTGAGATGTTATTAGAGAAATGCGAATCAAAACTACAATGGGGTATCATCTCACACGGCTCAGAATGGCCATCATCAAAAAGTCTACAAACAGTAAGTGCTGGAGAGGGTGTGGAGGAAAGGGAACCCTCCTACACTGTTGGTGGGAATGTAAATTGGTACAACCATTATGGAGAACAGTATGGAAGTTCCTTAAAAAACTAAATATAGAACTACCATATGATCCAGCAATCCCACTCCTGGGCATATATCCAGAGAAAAACATAATTTGAAAAGATACATGCACCCCAGGGTTCACTGCAGCACTATTTACAATAGCCAAGACATGGAAGCAACCTAAATGTCCATTGACAGAGGAGCAGATAAAAAAGATGTGGTACATATATACAATGGAATATTAGCCATAAAAATGAACGAAATAATGCCATTTGCAGCAACATGGATGGCCCTAGAGATTGTCATACCGAGTGAAGTAAGTCAGACAGAGAAAGACAAATATGATGTGATATCGCTTATATGTGGGATCTTTAAAAAATAGTACAAATGAACTTACCTACAAAACAGAAATACAGTCACAGACATAGAAACAAACTTATGGTTACCAGGGAGGAAAGGGGGGGATAAGTTGGAAGATTGACATATACACACTACTATATATAAAATAAATAACTAATAAGGACCTACTGTATAGCACAGGGAACTCTACTTAATACTCTGTAATGACGAATATGGGAAAAGGATCCAAAAAAGACTGGATACATGTATATGTATAACTGACTCACTTTGCTGTACACCTGAAACTAACACAACATTGTAAATCACCTATACTCCAATTAAAAAAAAAAAAAAAAAAAGACTCCTGGCCCAAGGTTGGGTGGTTCAGACATCTCATCAGCTCTAACCCCGAGTGGTCAGGCAAGCCGGCTTACAGCCTCACTGAGCTGTCCTTGGGGGTGCCTGGGATCTGAGGGCACCTGCTGGCCATGGCCGCTGCAGGGAAATCAGGCCCGGGTTCGTGCCTTTGCTGCTACTTCCCAGCCGTGTGATGCTGGGTGATTCACTTAACTGGGCCTCATTCCCACTCATCCGTCATCTGTCCGTTCATTCAGCAAAGCGAGCGTAGAGATAACTCCCGTGCGATACGTTCGTTGGGATCATTGAGAAGCTGCTGGCCGTGGAAGGGCATCGTAGTTACCAAGGGCTCTGGCTGTGCAAGACCTGGGTAGTGTCATGTGAGGGCCCTGTGGGGCGGGAAGTGGAGCCCCTTAGGGTTATTGACCATCCCTGAATGCTCCTCAGGTTGGGAGAGGAGAGAGGTTTAACCCCAGCGTGATCCTGCCTGGAACTCCCTTTGCACCTGCTCCCCCCTCAGGGAGTGAGAACTGGACGTACTGAGCAGGGGGCACTCAAGCTGTCACGAGGCAGGCCCTGCTCTGGAAATCTCCGCCAGACTGCAGCCCTTCAGCAGCATTGGCGGTAGCAGCAGACAGGCCCCAGTGACTTCCCAGCCTGAGACTGGGTTGCATCCTGTGGTTTGAAACACCGCTTTCTCCAGGGCGAATCCATGTCCAGCACTTTCTGCACCTTGTCTCTCTTGGTTCTCCCCACTGCCTTACGCAGTGGGTGTTATCTCCCCATTTTACAGATGAGGAAACTGGGCTCAGCCCTGGAAAACAGCCTGCCCAGGGCCACTCAGCCAGGAGGTGCTGGGCCATTCATTCCTTTATTCACTCATCAACTGTGACTGCCCTGGAAACAGGACATGCTTGGATTCTGGTGGGTTGGGGAGAGGAATTTGAAGGAGGGATTTACTTTCACCTCAAGGATGGAGCCCCACATGCCCCACCCTAGTCCACAGCTTCCCTTGGGTTAGTCCTCCAGCCTGGACCGCTGTGCACAGCCAGGATCCAGCTGGCTCGGCCGACCCTGGGACTTGCTACTTCTCCCTTGTGCCTTCTATAAACACCTGACACAGCATCTTCCTATCCCTACCCCTCCCTTTAACAAATTATATCCTGGACATGAATGAAGGTAGAGGCCTGAGCTTATACTATTTGAGGATGGGGGCTTTTTAGGAAACAACAATACAAAAAATATTGCTTTCGCAAATTTTACAAATCACGTGATCCCATGAATGTATTGTCAGGGCCCTCCCCACCCAGAGCCTCCAGAGAGGCTGGTGTATGTCAGGGGCTCTGATTACCTAAGCTACGTTAGCTTCACCAGCCACAAACCTACTTCTGACCCGGGTCAAAGGCATGAACGATATTTGTTATTTTTGAACATAAATAACAGAATTTATGTCCGTTAAGTTACACTGCTCTTCAGTGATACCTCTGGGTCCTGGTTTCATTTGGGCCTCAACACTACCCCAGGAGGTACGCGTACTCGCCAAATAGTCGTGGGCAAGTTGTTTATCCTCTCTCTGCCTCAGTTTCTTCACCTGTAAGATGGGGATAAAAGTTCACCTGCTGGGAATTCCCTGGCAGTCAAGTGGTTAGGACTCTGTGCTTTCACTGCCGGGGCCCAGGTTTGATCCCTGGTTGGGGAACTAAGATCCTATAAGCTGCACAGCATGACCAAAAAAAAAAAAAAAAGTTCACCTGCTGCATATGTAGTGTTTAGAAGGTGGTCTGGCTCCAAGTAAGCTCTGTGAAGTGTTAGCTGGTATCAGCATTAAAGTCCATGAAGGGTGGGCATTCTCCCTGGGCCATGGGGTCCTGGGCACAGGGAGGGACTGAGCTCGGGGAGCCTCTCTGAGGTCACATAGCGGCTCACGTTGGCCTGCATGTCCTTGGCTTTCACTGGCCGAGTGCTCGCTGGGAGCGGAGCCTTGTGCCAAGAGCTTTACACACAGAATCCATTTCCTCTTCAACCCTGAGGGGCCCTGGCCCCCGGAGGAACCCCTGGGAGGGTGACACAGGGGGAACATGCCTGACCTTCCTGGAATAGTGTCACTTAAATACTGGGCATCTTGTCACATGCCTGCCAGAGCGAAACTGGCAGAAGTTTCAGGTGTGGTTTGGAGTTTCCACACTGAGCTGCATGGACTCACCTCTTACTATCCCAGCTGCCCACGATGCACATGCTCATTGTTCCGTTTTACAGGCTGAGGATGAGAATCAGGCCTGAGTTTCCCACAGCACCCAGAGTGGAAGTGGCAGAGCTGGGCTGTCCTGCCTTTGTCCTTCCCCCCCTCGGCCCCTCCCCCGCCCCAGGACACACACAGGCACACACACACACACACACACACACGCACACACACAGATAACCTTTCTGGCTAATCCCTGAAATTCCTCCAGCATTGAATCATTCTATTCCGCCCCAACTCCCTCTTCTGAAATCCTCCCTCCCCGAGTGCTCCCGTAGCTTGGACTGGGTGAGTTTGGGGTAGTACTCAAGGATCCTGGGTGTCTGGAGTTGGGGCGCATGGCAGAGGTGGGAGCAGAGAGATGCAATGACTTGTCCAAGGACACGCAGACTTTTAGAACATGCCTGGCACAGCTGAGACGGGACCCAGGCCCACTGGCCCAGCCTGGTGGGACCCTGGCATCCCAGGCCACCTCTCTATTTCCTTCTGCCTGGGAACACTCACCAATCCCTTTGGTCCTGGGCACCATCCAGGCCTGGGGAGCCTATGGGGGGGCACTCGGCTGCCTAGCTGGCCGGAGACATAGCTGCTGTGTGTGTTCCCCAAGGTGTGGTCCCGAGGGTCCATCCCAGGAAGTGGGTCTGTCCGCGTGGTTTTAGGGATGTTGCTCCAGAGGCAGCAGGGCTGGTGCGGCAGACTCTAGAGTCAGCCATTAGTTTGGGATTTAGGTCGTGGAAGAGAAGAGACATTCCAGGGGAATTAACGGAGAAGCAGGAACCGAGACTATGTAGAAAGGCAGCTTGAGAACTGGTGGCACAGAAGAGGGGTATGAAGACAGCCCCACCCGGGGGCTGATCCAGACTCAAGACAGGCCTGCTGGGGCAGAGACCACCGGGCCGTAATCACTCATTGTACAGGGAAGGACCGTGAAGGCCAGAGAGGGTGAGCGGTTGCCTGGGGTCACACAGCACATCATGGGCTGGCCTGGAACAGGAGCTCTGCGCTTCTATCTATCAGTCCTGGAATGTCCTCTGTATCCCCCCCACCCCGAGTGGATCCAGCAGTCCAGGTGGAGGGCTGGAAGTATCTTGGTCAGCTACAGTTGCCAGCATGGGGTATGATTAGCAAGGACCAGAGGAGGCTGTCTCAGGAAGGAAGAGGCCT